TGAAAACTTAGCTTTTCCGCTACCTACGTCGTACCTGGTGGCTGCCGATATTACTGCCTAAATGGAGTATTTCTGGATAGCTATGCATATTGGCACTTATACCGCTTCGCTACTTTTACATCTTATTTTTCTGACATCTGCTTGCAACGCAGCAAGCCACTTTTAGCGAAAAAAATTAATAGCGTTATTCGTGGACCGCCATTCCATTGCAAATAACTCGTAAACTACTGCACGTATTGCATTGCTTTTACTTTTAACTTCAGCAATGGTTAAAACGAATTCTGAGCAACCTAGTTTTGTATTACATTTCGCAATATTATAGCCTTAGAGAAGGTTTTCCTTTGGATCTGAGATATATTTAGGTTGGAATTTGGCGCCAGCCTACCAATTAAGGACAAGAAAGTTTGGTGCAATTTTTTAACTTTATTTTTCTATGAAGTACGCAGCCTTACCAGGCTACGTAACAAGCCAGTTTTACTTTTAGTTGCATCCCTGGAAATTCCTTTTAACCATTTCATCTTCCTTAGAATTCCGCAGCACTTATTTTTTACCATGTGCTCAATGCTAAATGTGACGATTGAGCGGGTCGAAGTAATCCAAAAATTTATGGTGCGTTTGTGGTAAATTGTATCCTGTTTCCAAAGCAAACCTGCACCACAACGGCTCTGCGCAACGTTTACAACAAACAAATTCAAGGGTTTCAATATCGTCTGAAGAAGATAGAATTATCTCAAAGTGGGCGCGTATAATCCCCTCAGTTTTACATCAAACAAAGCCAATGCAGTCGTAATTGCCAACAAGAAACCTATACTTACACTTTACCTATTTCTATGCAAAAGCATAGGACTAAGATAAAAATTGATCTGATTCCTTACGAGCGCAGCAGCTAGCCAGTCTAGAAATATACCAATTTATTTATTTATTTCAATGACGCTTTCCAATTAATAGAAAATGGCAAATCCTACCTGTTTGCTGATGGCATCAAAATGATGTGCTCCATGCACCTACGAAACATGCAAGCCTGGTTTTCCCAGATTCAAAGCGAGCTAAGTGCTCTGAATGTTTGTTGCATCACTTAGAAGCTGATATTCTCACCGGCGAAATGCTGCGTCCTCTCAAACCGCTGCATCGTTCCACAGATTGTTCTTAGTACGGAAACTTTACATCCACCTTTAACGTCTGATTCGCCCCTACTCCTTCCTAGCTACAGATTCTTTGGCCATGGCGTTGCTAATAACCGTGGTGGAGGTTGCCTCATTTATGTCCATGAAAATTGCGATGATTCTTCCTTTGATATCCTTAATATTGGAAATCCTAGCGATTCCGGCTGGATCAGGTCACATGATGGCCCTCTTGGCCTCAATCTGTTTATTGGCTGCGTCTAGAACCCCCACCTACAAATAAGTTACGCGTAGACGAACTTGTTGAGCTCTTTACCCACGTGTCTGAACTCCCCTTCAGACATATGATAGTAGGCGGTGATTTCAACATGCAAAACATCCAATGGCACCCGAGACAGCCCCTGCTCAATATTCTTCATTTCTGAACACGGTCTTAGCAAATGAATGTATTCAGCACGTAAGGGAACCTACTTAACTGTCCAATCTTCTTGACCTCTACCTTACACGCGGCCTCTCCCATGCGTATGCTAGTGTAAAGGATAGCAGCAGCCCAGGTAGCGACCACAAAGTGGTACAACTGTCGTTCAGTCTAGCAAACCTAGAGCTCATTAGGACCGAATGAGCTCCCATGTCCAGACCAATGCAACACGTTGACTGGAACAACTTTTCAACACGTCTAAGGTAGATGAAATGGGACTGCTTCTTCCTAATCACTGATATCGGCGCCGCCGTATACGAGCTCTACCGCAATCTAAAATTCTGCATAGATGTACGTACACCCAAACCATCCCGACGATTTAGGAAACCATCACTGGGTGTAGCTTCCACGCGTGCAGGGGATGTCCAACTCCAGGAACAGCTAGCCAAATATCGAAAGACACATGACTTCTCACTTCTCATAAGTATTAATAAGTTCCAGACAGAATGGAGGGAAAACAGTCGGATGTTATGCTAGCTGAAGAATGCAGAGCTCTCTGACAAAACCGGTTCTAAAGTTCTTGTCCATCTGATGCAAAACAGAAGCAGAGGAACATCAAAACTCATAACATCGTTAATGATGTCGGACGGCATAGCAGTTACTGATCCAGGTATCCTGTGAGAATTCCTTAACAGGCACTTCTGTGATGCATTCACCGATGTCCCTGCGACACATTCCAGAGTAATATCTCGGCTAACTAACGACGAGCTATCCACTGTCGACTTTGGCATACGCTCGATTAATAGGACAGTAAAGTCACACACGTTGACTTAACACCCTCGTTCCGATGGCCTACCCTCTGCTCTTCTGAAACAAGGTGCTTCTGATATGCTACTTTTACTCCTTAACATATTCAGGTTATCTATGAGTAACGGCACCTTGCCAACAGCCTGGAAGCATGCGATCGTTCTACCAAGACACCAAAGTAGCTGCCAGTTAGACATTAACAACTACCGCCTCATCAGGCATACGCCGTTTGCATCAAGGGTGATGGATAGGCTGGTTAAGGAATGAATGCTTGACTTCCTGCTACCGCGAAAACTTAGTGTCTTGTCCCAACATGGGTTCTTGCCGGCTAAGTCATGTCAGACCTGCCAGTTTGAGTTCTTGGACGTGGTGACATGTAACAGTGACACTGGAGCTGCGCAGACTATAATCTTTCGCGACATGAGGAAAGCCTTTGACCGAGTCCCACACTTTAGCCTACTGACCAAACTTAGAGCCTTTGGTATCTCTAACTAACTATTGCTTTGGTTTACATGTTATTTTGCAAAGCGAGCACAGGCGGTTCGACTGGGATACAAGAACTCAGAACCACGACGAGTAACCAGTGGAGTATTTCAGGGCAGTGGCTTAGGACCATTGCTGTTCCTCCTCTACAGCAAGAATGTATTTGACTCCTTTTCACACGGTAAACCCTTTTTAACCGCAGATGACATCAAAGCAGCCTTCACATTTGACTTAGCTGACATACTTAATGGATGCTCCAGTGTACAGAGCAACCTTAAAGCGCTTGAACATTGGTGCAGCCTGTGGAAAATGAATGTCTCACCTGCAAAATGTAAAGTTATATCACATCGTTGCAGTGTGCCTCCCGACGCACCGAAACTACATGGCTGCCCAATTGCAAGGTGCACAACAGTCAGGGGCCTCGGTGCACATTGCTCCAGTTTACTTAACTTTGCCGAGCAGGTGAGCTATAGCTCTGACAAAGATCGCTCAACTATCGGTGTGATTTGTCAATCGATTCTACTTGTGGCATCACGGCTAGCCCTCTACAAGTTCTGTGCCTGACCAATTTTGGAGCACTGTTCAATTGAGTTCCCCAGTTCGCGCAAAAGTGACTGTATAGAAATTGAGCGGGTGCAACGAAAGTTTACCAAACCTTACTTGGTTCGTCCGAGCTTAGTTATCGAGAAAGATGCCAACAGCTTAACCTGGCATCACGTTGGCTACGCAGGCGCGAAGCAAGTTTGTGTTTTTGTTTTAGATGATACAAAACCAAGAGGTCAATCCTGATTGGTTTGTTCTACAAGTAGACCATGACGCTTACCCCATCCGAGCCAGACCGTTTTCCATAACCATGCCTAGGGCTCAATCCAGCATCCGTGCCAACTCATTTTCATAAATCCGCCATCGCATGGAATTGGCTGCTGATGACTATCCGGACAGCCAAGACCACCTTAGAGCTTCGAAGCTCTTTACCCCGACTTCTAAACACCACCTCAATATCTGAATTCCTGGGAGTATGCATTCCTGAGGAAGAGCTGTGGGAGCATGGACCTGATCCCTACAAAAGCAAAGCCTCACAAGACAGCCACAAGGTTTGTTTCCACCAAATTATTGTATATTCAGTCCCACTTTTACCTGTGTCCACAATTAGGCTTCTTTATCGGGTGTCCATGAACTTCGTTTCAGATCCCCCGGTACACTCCCTATGTTGAACGTGTCGCCTTTCCCGCCTCCCTTCTTTCTCCTTACCCCTTCTTTTCGTTGCTTCCTTCATTATCTCTAATCTACCCTTGTTAACCCTCATGTTCATTCACTTCCGTGCCGCGTAGCCCATTGCTACCCTTCTATTATTCCTGACCTTTATATCACTACTCAGGATCTTTCCCTGGGTTCCTCACTCTCTCCTGCCCTTCTCACGTTTCTGTTCTATGCTCTTTCACTACGAAACTACGCTTTTAACACTTACTTAACCCTCATTCTCTGAACGTTTGCCACCCTCCCACATCTAGCACTTCTCGCTTCAATTCCGCTGCATTTATTTTTTAAATCCCCTCACCAGTCAACTTTACCCATTGTTTCTCCGTTATTTCGGCCCCATTATGTTCTTCTAATATTCGGCCTTAGTATCGTTTTTTAGATCCATTTTAGGACACGGCCCCTTTTCTCCCCTGGTGTTCCTTTATCCTATGTTTTTTCTGTCTTATACCATACCTGCCCTTTTTTTAACGGGCCCTCCTTCCACACATCTCCGTGAATCTACTTAGTAAGTTTCTTCCAACCTCTTTCCCTTATATTGCTTAGAAGTCACTGAGCCCTCATATTTGGTCCACTAGCTCGCTCAAACCTCTTGTGATTCCCACATTGACCTACACACCTTTCTCTCATATCCCCCGACCATTATCTCGTTCTCCCTTTTGGTACTCCCTCCCCCACGCCTTTTCTCGCCCTAAATCATCAAAAACAATCTCTCTCACAATATCTCCAAATAATTCCCTAGTCACCCTCCTACTACCAAGTTAACCTATTCAAACTATTTTCGCCATACCACTTTTTATGTCCAAACCTTTCCATCCTATTTATCGTTATATCTATTAATATCCTCCCCTGGGAGGGGGCGGGGGGCGGCGAGGAGAAGGGTGCGGGGGGGGGGGAGGGGGGGACGGGGGGGA